CTAAGTTAGAGCCTTTTATGTATGCGAATAGTATCCATTTTAAAAAGCATGATGTTTTCTTTCAGAGAGATAGCGAGTTAAAATCGCAATATAAGTATTAATAAAAAGTAAGTATCGTTGCTTACGAACTAATATATCGTGGTTAACCTTATCAAAGGCTTTGGAAAAATCCGTATATACCACGTCAATCTGACCTCTGTTATCCAATCTGTGGCATAAATATTATACTAAGTGACATATAAATCCGAACACCCAGTTTAAATGGTTTTATTTTAATAAAATTTGTATAAGTACTTAATGAAGCATAATAAGTAAATGATAAAAATTTCAAAATGATTGCACTGCTTTAAAGCCCTTTGACCTTCAATAATGTGTGGATGCACCCTGATGTGCTACGCATTCTCCAACGCGCCTAGGCATGCTTCGGATCAGGTGGTCAATGTCCTCCTGTGGTATCTTATTCCAGCCAACCACCAACTCCTCTCGAAGTGCTTCTAGAGTCTCAGGAGGACGTTGCAAATTTAGCAATCTCCTACCCATCATATCCCACACGTGCTCAATTGGGGATAAGTCGGGAGATCTTGGTGGCCATGGTAACAATGTGACATCATTATGTTGAAAGAAGTCTATTGTGACTCTTGCAACATGTGGTCGGGCATTATCTTGTTGGAAAGTTGGATCTGCCAGGGTGTCAAGATAGGGTAAAAGATGGGGTTCTAGAACTTCGTGGATATAACGCTGCGCGTTCATGTACCTCTGATGAAGATTTAAAGGTGACCTGGAACATAAGCTATAGCACCCCACACCATACTCCAACAGTGTGATGAGACATTTCTTTCAACAAAAAACTGTGGATTCCTCCTTTCACCACGTCGCCTTCTAACCCTGGCACGACCATCGTGCATGCCTAAACAAAATCGAGACTCGTCACTAAAGACAATACTGTTCCATTCCTGATCCCAGAGTGACCGTTGTCTGCACCACTCAAGGCGATTACGTCGGTGTTCTCGAGTTAAAGGAGGACCCAGTGTGGCCGGGTATGAAAACAAGCCAAAACTTCTCATTCATCGGTAAACACTTCGCATAGGTCTTCCGTGTTCTGCAACATTCATTTGCAATGGACCTGGTAGGGGAGAAACGGTCCTAAGGCCAATAATCTTAGGCGGCGATCTTCACGGTCTGTTGTTTCTACGGCGGCGTCCAGTGCCCCTTGCTCTTTGCGTACGACCTTCTCGAAGCCATGCCTGACAACACCTAACCACAGTGTCTACACTTCTTTGCACTCTAACTGCAATTGCCCGAAAAGAAATCCAGCTTTCCCGAAGTCCCACTATACGGCCCCTATCAAACTCACTAAGTTGACGAAATCGTACAGGTCTCCGTACTCTAGGCATCGTAACCGATCGTAAAGGATGTCATGAACCAAAATCCGCCAACGTTGATTCTTTTCTGCGGCTGAAATATTCATTTTTAGAGCGTTAGTGAATTAAAAAAAGCAGTATAAAATCCGGAATGTCCAACTGATAAGGCTGAACATTTTTTCACTTGTTATTTACAGTAAGATAAATACATTCACCAACTTTTATTAAAATAAAACCATTTAAACCGGGTGTTCGGATTTATTCACATAGTATAACTGAACTCCATCAGATTAGTTAAAGTTGAGAGCTGCCTCATAAAGCCATGTTGATGGATCGAAATATGGTCTTTCACATAATATATTCGGTAATAAATTACGATCTTCAAGAGCTTCGCAAAATTGTTCAAGATAGATACTGCACTATAATCACAAACTAAATTATAATTCTTGGTTTTTGGAATGAAACATACCTTTGGGGCCTTCCATTTATCTGAAAAATAAATGTGAATAAAATCAAACCGAACAGAATCTCCTAGAATTCTAATAAAATCCTTGACAAAGAATAATGGAATTTGGTCAAGCTCTGTAGTTAGCTTGTCTTTAGTTTAATATTAACGACTAAAAATAGTTTTTTTGGACATAAACGCTGTAATAAATACTCATTTCTATGAAATTAGATATGAGACAAGTAGTCTATTCCGTGTTCCATGATATTTTTTACTTCTACCTATGTGAATTTTTCTTATGCTTACATCTCTAACAGGATTAATATTAATAAAGCAATAAATTGGACAAAATATACTAAGTGACATATAAATCCGAACACCCAGTTTAAATGGATTTATTTTAATAAAATTCTGTATAAGTACTTAATGAAGCATAATGAGTAAATGATAAAAATTTCAAAATGATTGCATTGCTTTAAAGCCCCTTGACCTTTAATAATGTGTGGATGCACTCTGATGTGCTACGCATTCTCCAACGCGCCTAGGCATGCTTCTGATCAGGTGGTCAATGTCATCCTGTGGTATCTCATTCCAGGCAACCACCAACTCCTCTCGAAGTGCTTCTAGAGTCTGAGGAGGACGTTGCAAATTGAGCAATCTCCTACCCATCATATCCCACACGTGCTCAATTGGGGATAAGTCGGGAGATCTTGGTGGCCATGGTAACAATGTGACATCATTATGTTGAAAGAAGTCTATTGTGACTGTTGCAACATGTGGTCGGGCATTATCTTGTTGGAAAGTTGGATCTGCCAGGGTGTCAAGATTGGGTAAAAGATGGGGTTCTAGAACTTCGTGGATATAACGCCGCGCGTTCATGTTACCTCTGATGAAGATTAAAGGTGACCTGGAACCATAAGCTATAGCACCCCAAACCATAACTCCAACAGTGTGATGAACATGTCTTTCAACAAAAAACTGTGGATTCCTCCTTTCACCACGTCACCTTCTAACCCTGGCACGACCATCTTCCAGCTTCCCGAAGTCCCACTATACGGCCCCTATCAAACTCACTAAGTTGACGAAATCGTACAGGTCTCCGTACTCTAGGCATCGTAACCGATCGTAAAGGATGTCAAGAACCAAAATCCGCCAAAGTTGATTCTTTACTGCGGCTGAAATATTCATTTTTAGTTAGTGAATTAAAAAAAAGCAGTATAAAAACCGGAATGTCCAACTGATAAGGCTGAAAATTTTTTCACTTGTTATTTACAGTAAGATAAATACATTCACCAACTTTTATTAAAATAAAACCATTTAAACTGGGTGTTCGGATTTATATGTCACTTAGTATACAATCTAAAAATATTTTATACAAAAATGCCTATTTTTTACTATTTCCGATTTTTCATTCATCTTTCACGGGTCATTAGGTATTTTGAGTTTCAATGTACCGTTACGAATTTTGATGAAGCTTTGAGACTGTCTTAGTACTATTGACCTAATATATCTCCATTGTTATTGGGGTGAGCCCAAAAATTTGGAATTGTTTTACAAAAATATGTAACTGATCTTATTGCTTAGATTGATTGATTTTGACCTACGTTTCCTCTATCTCTTTTCTCGTGAAAAAGTTATGACAAATCTCAATTGACATCGGAGAAATTGATAAGAAGATGTGAATCTTGGATAAATTCAGAACTGTCATATAGCGAGAAAAAAAAATGTCTTGGACCATTGCTATATTTCAATATTTTTTGTCTCGACGATTTGTAAAAATTGTGCCCTTGAAAACTATACTATAATATGTATATTAAATTCGTGCCAAGATATCTTATTCATATGAATTTCTCCGAATGTAACATTTTTGTTGTGAGAGTTTACAAAAAAGTGCGTAGAACGTTAAATGTCAGCATAAATAATCTTTCAAACTAGCTTATTTTTATCTTCTTCTAAGAAATGTTTTCTGAGTTATAATATAAAGCTCATTGTAGAATGCTTCCAGATGATTGAGCTTATTATATTTCCGAACAAATTCCGTAAAAATACTTATAATTGGGCAGGTTGTGACCTAGCATCATACAGGGTTTGTCCGGAAAGTAATAGGAATCGGTTTTCTTCCGCCATGACTGTACTTCGGAGCGTACGCGCACCGACTGGATTCGGTAGAGGGCGTTCCTAGCTAACGAATGAGCGGCTGGTCAGTTGTCTCCGAGCACTTGGAGAGTCAGGACAGGCATTTTTGCGCGACGTGTTTCGTTAGAGCAGAGGTACGCGATTAAATTCTGTATGAAACTCGGTAAATCTGCGACAGAGACGTTTGATATGATCAAGCAGGTTTACCCAGGTGTTGCTTTAGCACCAGGCCTTTTTGGACGGCCGGGAAGAGGTCGCTGATGAAGACCGTTCTGGAAGACCTTCGACTTCGACAAACACCGATAATATAACTCGTGTGCGCAAAGTTTTGAACTCAGACCGTCGACTAAGTATTCGTTTAATTGCCCAAATGTTAAATTTACCAAAATCTGTGGTTCATGACATTGTGACACAGCATTTGAACATGCGCAAGGTGTGTGCGAAGATGGTCCCAAAAGTGTTCACTGACGACCAGAAATTGCGGCGAGTGGAAGTGTGCCAAGAAAATTTGAACATGTGTGAAAGTGACCCCAATTTTTGAATAACGTAATCACAGGTGACGAGTCGTGGATCTTTGAGTATGATCCCGAGACAATGAGGCAATCTTCCTATTTTGAAAGTTTTTAAAGAATTGTAACGATTGGCTCAATAAATTTTTTTAAATCGACTCAGTCCTATTACTTTCCGGTCAAACCCTGTATATCTCACCTCAACTGGCAATGAGTCAGTAGCATATCTACCTTTTGTAGCCAAACAAAAGGTACCACAATTAACTTCAACGGTGGCAGAGTGAAGTCTCAATAATGGCGGGAGTCTGACTGTCAGTTCGATCGACGTACGCTCATATAAATTTTGAATGTTGCCATTATACCTTTTAGAAGTCGTATTTCTCAATTCTTGTCTCAATTCTAATATTTCTAGTAGAAAAGCGTTTTTTCCCAATATCTTTTAAGGCCAACAAATGCTTCTAACATTTTTGTTATTTTTGCTGCAATTATGAGTAATTGTGCGTTTATCATTAAGTTGTCCTGATATACATAACAGTATATTTTTTCCAGTTTGTCGAAGAATGATTAAAGTTGATGAAGACGACCCAGTGGGAGGTGAGCTGTTTACTTTACTCAACGATATTTCCTTCCAAATGGCACAAATGTTGAAATAACGAGGCCTACTTAAGCGTGAGACGTGTATTTATATCCTAGTATTTTCTATAATGCACCAGTATCGGAAAAACGAAACGAGTTTTCAGTGTTGAAACAGATTTCTTAGACCTATGAAGACAGTTAATCAGAAGGAGAAAAGCTCAAACTGCGCCGAAAAAATAAACTCCTTTCTTCATGTGCTCAAAATAGCATTATGTCTTGCTTAAAATTGCTGTCGAGTAAAAAGTCTTTAAAAGATTCATCGAAAAGAGTTTTTGGCTGATTTTATTAAAAACTCGACATGTTCAACAAATAGGACTAGTTCTCATATAAGACCACACATATCTATACAGAATGAACCTATTTCTCTGACTAACAATGGATGGTAAAGTGAGGTAGTGAGTTCTGATTTACTTCAAGACTTATGTGGATGTCTTACACAGTTACCATGTAATTAATAATTTTATTGAACATTACCCAAGGTGTAGAGATTTTTTTATAGTAGGTGATTGATATCGAAAATCTTTATAATTAACATCATTTGTCAGTATTTTGCTTCGAGATCAAAATAATTCAAAATAATGAAGAATCAGAGTAGAATCATAAAGGAACCGACAGTTATTTCAACAGTAAAACAGAATAAATAAAGGCTTATTTAAATAACATGGTCTAAATTATTAGAAACAAAAACAATGGTAATTGACGATTTGGGAACAGCGACACAACAAAACCCAGATACGAAACGAAACTTTTAATCCTCCAGGTACGTCTGGCTGCTAAATAAAAGCACATATGCCTGAAATACATTTACTGACGACGACGTTTCGGCCACTACGACTCACTTCAATAAAATGAAACATAATTACACTTTTTAGTTGAAGCATCATACTTCTAAAAAATTTTATTTGAACCTTACTCATAAAGGGTATATCAGCAATAATTTGTTAGTGCTGGATAATCCCACGCGATCTATATGACTTGTTTTCAATGGATATCAACATACGCAGACCCAATTGGTTATTGCGTTGTCAAAATTTCCTTTAACCCCAGCAAGGTATCCCACTGCTATGTGAGTGAAGACTCCGAAATGGTGATCGCAGGACTGACGTTGAGGGGCGGGGTATCATCGGCGACTGATAATGAAGATTGGAGGGAGGAGGAGGTGCCGTAGCAGTGGTGATCACAGGACTCATGTTGGGGGGGAGGGGTGTCAACGGCGATTGAAAATGAAGATTGGAGGGGAGGAGGGGTGCCGTAGCAGTGGTGATCACAGGACTCATTTTGGGGGGAGGGGTGTCATCGGCGATTGATAATGAAGATTGGAAGGGAGGAGGGAGGAGGTGCCGTAGCAGTGGTGATCATTTTGGGGGGAGGGTGTCATCGGCGATTGATAATGAAGATTGGAAGGGAGGAGGGAGGAGGTGCCGTAGCAGTGGTGATCATTTGGGGGGAGGGTGTCAACGGCGATTAAAAATGAAGAATGGAGGGGAGGAGGGGGTGCCTCTGGCGTCATACGCGGCAAATCAGGGTGTGACCAATCTCGATTCGCCCGGGGCGTAGGGGGTTTTATTGGGAGGATCCGCACTCGCTCAGGCTTCCCCTACACATACAGAAATAAAGTAAGCTGATCATTCTCGTATCTTATACTGCAAGATATTATGCCACCATTATGTTGATGTAATCCAAAAATTAATTCTAAAATTGATCCTCTCTAGGGAGATTACTTATTCAAGTGATTCTGTATACAAGTATGTGCAGGCTCAGCTATTAGATGCAGACAAATTTATTTTATATCATCTAATACATTAATTAAATATTCGAAATACTTGAATCGTACCATTCATAACTACCGAACAAGATTCAATCAAATTCAATGTGTATTCCACAAACATCAAAAACCATTACACAACGATATCTGTTTTTCTTGGGACCAAAATCTATAACTTCATACTAGAGTCATTAAAAGTAATTAAATCAAACAGATCATTTAAAAAGAACTAAAGAAATGGATTTTATAACCACCAAGGTGCCATCCACAAAAATGTAGATATGAAAAATCATTATCAAAATCAATAATATTTTTCTTACATTAACATCCATACTTTTAATTTAGTTATAATTGTCTGGATATGTTTCCTGACACTACCATAATAATTCAATTAACCAAATTATACGGTTTTTATACACTGACTGTACTTTAGTTTTTATTTCAACAAACCCAAACACAAGAGCAAACTCTTTGGGTGCTTTATTTATGTACACAATATGTAATATTTACCTGTATTTTGTGACAATAAATATTATTATTATCACGTAAAAGAAATTACAACCTTTGGGCTCATACACAAAATTTGGACTACCTGCTAGCAACTCCAACGAGTACATCTATTAATCAATCTTGGAGGTAACAAATCTAATGTCAGTAGTTCAATCTGGCGCTCGAAAAAGTGTTGGAAAGTTTTTTTTTGTGCAGATCTCGATGTGCTCTTTTCGAATTTTCACTCACATTGAAAATGTATTTCTACATCTCCATTCGACTTGTCTATGGCGAAAACAGCTTTTATGCCAAATTAAACATGAGACAACCTCGTAGATTCACGTTTCTCACCGGCAGGTTGCAAATGTGACTTCCAGTTTTGACAATATCTCCTATTCTGTCCTCCCCAAGGCAAATGACATTACCAACCAAACTAGAGATAACTTCCTACGACCTAGCTTTTAGAACATTTGGAAAGAGCGCGTTAAAATTTATGGAGATTTGACGCTTTTAATATTTATCAAGGAGATTTGACGCTTTTAATATTTATCAAACATTTTTCAAGTACCTAAAACTAGCCAATGAATCAGGGACAAAAAATGGATAAAATTAATAAGACATAATTGTTGAGGCTTAATTATGAAAAATTGGTGCAATTTGTATCACAATTGTTTAGCCTGTGAAGCTTCAGTGCAAGATGTTAAAATAAACCAAACAAAATTGCTAAACTATTAAATC